TCTCATCACCTTGCTTGAGGTATTCATCTTTCTTTCGAATAAAATATTGGTAAACATTATAAACCACTTGTCTCGCTTGTGCACCGATCGGTTTTCCTTGCCGAAGTTTTGAGAGCATTGCATATTATTGTATACGAATGGATATAAATTTCAAAAGATATATAAAAGTCTCAGATTTCCTTGATACACAGCAGACATATGGTGTGTTCGCTTTTAGAGCCAGTGGCAATGAGCGTGACGCTTGATTTTTATTATCAAATTGTGTGACGTCACGTGCTAAGTTATCTGCACATCTTGGAGTGAAGTCTAAAGATAAGAAAAACGGACTATACCACCCATTTTCCTTCCTGTAACGCACCATGACTGTTGCGATCATTAAGAGCCAGCTTAATATCGACGCTAACCGATATCGGAAAGTGATCGGAGCTTTGAATGGAATAATCAATTTTTATATCATTAATAAGGGCAAGAAAACCCTTCGTGCAGATGACATGGTCCAACCAAGATTCCACTTCATTACCATCATTAATATGCGTGACAGAGTTATAGGGAAGACACTGAACATCGGCGATCACTAATCCCGAATCACAACAAAAAGGTCCTAGCTCATTGCCAAACTCAGATCCTTGGACCACGTCTGCGTTGAAATCACCCAATACGCAAACGTGCTGAGAATCAAAATCATCAATTATGCTCCTCAACTTACCCAAATGATATACATAACTGTCAAAATTATTGCTTGTGTTATAGGGCAAATATACACCAACGAGAAGAATTTTGACGTTATCAAAGTCACACTCTAACCCCACAATTCGGTCATCATCATAGCTCACGGGCTTAACATGAGAGGCCAGACTGTTGCGCCAGAGCACAGCTACACCACCATAAGGCCGGCCTTTTAACAACCCAGCAGATGGATCAATGGATGACAAGCCAAAAGAAAAGAAGTCATTGTGAATATGATTGAGGGACACCAGATCTGATGGAAGCAGCCAATGCTCCTGCACGAAAACAATGTCAGACATATCACACATTTTCTTAATGCCTCCAAAATTACGCTTGGAAGACTGACAATTGTAAGAACTGATTTTAAGCATCGCAAATGAAGTGATGAAAATTACCGAAAGAATTTGACTGACAGACATCATGGCACAGGCACTGACTAATAAACTCACGGACCCTCCTGAGACGTACCCAGGGCTACTCGTTTACGGAAAAAGCGCCTTATGACAAGTCCTTGTGCCCACAGCTGAGGATCCAACACATTTAAACCTATGGGCGGATTGATGAGCTCTACATGGTACGACTCATAGCTATCAAAACGAGTAGGCAACTTCTCGGAAGAAGCAGATTCCGCCCCAGTCTGCTGCAGAACATAAGAGGTCACAGCATCCTCCCCAGTACCTGGTTGCAGTCGTGAGATGAACATGGAGAACCGTCTGACGGTCGATACTGCTTTGATGGGCCCGGCTTTCCGCGTTCCTATGACGGCGTTGGACTGATGGGACGGCTTGACAGCAGAAACTGCGCCCGTGACGGCAGAGGAAGAAGCAGCCGGTGCACCTGCTCCTGCACCAATGGCGCGCTGGTCCTGTGTAGGAGGACTTCCCCTCTTCTTGGGCGTACCTCTTTTGGACCGATTCGCCGTGGACCAGCCTTCTTCGTCACCAGAGGGGGTCTTATTCACGTTCTGGACAGCATCAGCGTAAGTCTTAGGCTGTGTCGGTGCAGTAGTCGTAGGGGTCGGCTCAGCAGGACACTGAATTGTGGCATCCACCGTCCCCTTGCACGAGTTCTCAACAGAACGCTTCAAGATTGCATCTTCTACCCTTTTCGAGGTATCAGCCGTGACCTTCAAGATATCATGGATCATATCTTTCATTGTGGCCATCTCGACATCCATCAACTGCTGTTTGCGCATAAGAGAGCTTATATCGATGCTATCCACGGTGATCGGAGGCAGCCTGGCCAAATCGAGGGCAACAAACTTAGGAAGACTTCCTCTGTCACATTCAAAAATCATTTTCGCGATGCCTTCAATATACATCTTTTTCTTATTCTGACCACGTCTGGTTCCCACTCTCACAGACTCGTCCACATGATCGCATAAAATGTCCTTGGCAGCTTCCACTTCTTCATCCGAGAAACTCTCACTTACCAATTTAACGATAACATCAAGTGGCACGCTATCAACCTTGCACAGCATGTAGCACAACAACTCGTTGATAATGATGCTCATGCTTGCTGTTGCATCAAGTTCTTCAGTGTCAGCATTCAGAAAATCGCACGTGCTTCCGAACAAAAAAGTTGCTTTTGGCTGAGGCGACAAAAATGCGAAGATGTAGCCAAAAATGTATAAAAAAATATCGAAATTAGAAATCAGATACCTCAAAGGTTACACTGAATTACTATCCGATATTGCGGCCTCTGGAAGATTATTAAACGCTCTTCATAATGGATCACAATTCGAGCATGTCCTGTATAAATTGACCAAATAGACACTTCACGAAGACGGAGCAACAAAAAGCCAGCCGTCTTATCCAAGAGACACCGACGAATCTAGGTGTTTTGGGATGGCAATGAACGTGTCGGCTGTGGTCTGAGGTTCACAGCCCAGAAATTTATATTTTTCCAGGATCCTCTTCCTTTTCTCTGTACCGATAATTACTTGACAATGAATGGTTAGCCGAATCAACTGCACTCCGACCTGTGTGGACCGTCACTTTTCGTACTTTCATTTCCAGCTTCCCCGGCACCCGTGCGCGATCTCGCTGGGCCATAACCCGTCTAAGGTCACCGCCGCTCGCGCCCCCGGCCGCATAATCAGGACTCCCGTCTCACCAGTACATTTCTCCATAGGTTTCGTCGAGAGCGAGTGGCCGTTTTAACTTCGCAAGTCTCTCGGAGAAGGCCCGTTTCAGATCTCCCTGGGGTCAGTCTGCGAACTATTCGATCTCTCTGACCGTCATTGCCCCAGGACGGCGTCGGCACCTATAATTTTCCGTCGTCATCCGCTCTCTCAGACAGAACCGAGGGCATGTCATTCGCTAAACCCTTTCGCTGGCCACCGTTCCAAACGTCCTTCAACTCTGGCCATAGTCGGTTATAGGTTGTCGACGGGGACGGGCAACGGACACTTAACACGCGCACCGACGGGGGGGGGGGGCGGATATCCGCCCCCCCCCCTGAGGTTTTTGCGAATAGCGGTACGCGCCGCGAAATTTGGTACGACTATTCTCTCATCAATTTTACACATGGTGTGCAAGTTTGAACCTCCTAACTTTTAAGGTCAGGTCACCAGGTCACTTTGAATGACCCAACCTCAAGTTACTTTTTTTGCAACTTTGTCACCGTGCCAGAGCTACAGTAGATGTCGGAGGCCTTTGAAAGTCGCAGGATGTTATAAGGTCATTAGTAGCTACAATTTGTCTATCTCGGAATTTTGATATCGATGACCTAAGGTCAGGTCAATTTCTCGACCTCCCCATTATAAGTCAATGGGGGAAAAATCAACTCCCTGTTTTTACCACTAAAACGGGTCGGAATGGCCCCATAAACCATACATGACCTCATATACGATCAACCTTCACTACCTTGAGGTCTGTTTTGCTGTTGGGCAGCTGTAAGGTCATGTGACGTCATCAAAGGTCACCAGCGGTTTTTTTTACAATAACTCCGTACAGGAACAAGATACAGCCGCGCGGATGGTTTCATTGTGTTCAGCTCGTCAAGGCGCATCGAATGATATACATGATGACCTCTAGGTCACGTGACCTGAGGTCAACCTTTGACCTTGACCTTTCGAGGTCAACATATATATCATTCGATGCGGATTGACGAGAGGATCACGATGATGCCCTTAATCTGTTCCTATATTGACTAGTTCGAAAGTTATTCGAGAAAAACTCTCCCTATACCTAGCGCCGCCATTTTGACTTTTTTGACCCCTGTGACGTCATCTTTGACCTGACCTGAAAATGACCTTTGTAAAAATTGTAGACCTTGTCCGTGCGTATCCCTTGCCGTTTACCGCTTGTCGCTATCTTGCTTCGTTCTCGAGATCTCAGGGGGGGGGGGCGGTCATCCACCCCCCCCCCCCCCCGTCGGTACGAAGTTGGCGCAGACCCCCGTCGGTGCGCGGGTTAAGTGCTGAAATTAATATTTTTAGACCGTTTTATAGTTATTACTTGAATTGTATGTACACGGTTTAAAGTACTTTTCAGAATGTATAAAACGTCGCTGGATATCTACATAGGTACTCCTTTCAGTCGTTTTCATCCAATCGATTTTGTTACCATGCTAATCAGCGTGGCGGGTTCCTTTGTTGTTAAAAATAGGCTGCGTAAGAAATGGGTGTTCCAAAGGTCGGGAAACCCTGACGCCATAAGAGCGATCTGTGTGATTTCACCGCTGCCTTCGGCCAAACCTATGAGGTAATCCATATTATCGCTGGCCTGGGGTGTTTTGGAATATTCAGGAGGCTCACTCGTCCCATTTACTTGGTGGGCTATCGAGCAGAACAGAGCCGTAAAGTAACCAAACGTTCCATCGAAACGTCTCGGTGATCTCTTCTTGAAGCGGAAAGGTCATGCTAGGATAATGTAAATCGGAGGACCAAGAATGATAAATATTGCGCCGGTCCAAGCTTAGTCGGACGTTTAACGGCTTATGTTCAGTTCCCGTATCACCAGAAATCTTTTTTTGAGACGATCTTAATGGTCACGATAGATCTAACATTCGATTCGCTGCCGTTACGCTTCCTGCATTTATCATTAAAAAGCATGATAATTCATAATCCCCTTCACCCCTCTCCTTATGATTTCCCGTCACCAATAGAGCGTGATTAGAATTTCACCCTTTTTATCATATCTATGCTTCCTCTTCTCTTCTACATAGAGACAAGCATGGATAGGTCGATGTTTTTGCGTATGTCCGAAAGCTTATTAGAAATTCTGAATTCAACGGTAAGCTACTACGACTGTCCCCCTTTTTGGTCTTACCTGCGTTGTTTTTGTAGTTTCTCGAGATGATCTGGAAGTAGGAGGACTTGTCTTTGAGCTCCTCCAGTGCCTTGCCGACGGTGGGTGCCTCGGTGTTGATTTCTATGATAAACTCGTACTCGTCACTGCGATGTGACGAGCGCGATTCGATGTGCTCTAGGTTCACCTTGTGTCTCTGCCGAACGAAAAACGAGCCGGGTTAAAGCCCTTCCGCAGTGAGCTTTTCATGCCTGATAGTCGGTTTTTGTTCTTTATGATCAGCCATCTAGGTTGTAAAAACATGCTTATCCTTGATCACCGGGTAGTTTTTTGAACGGTTTTCTACTTTATGACCAATCGTGGAGACAGTCTGAAAAGGTCGGAAATGGATCTCTCGACAGTGATAGATCCTTGATGGGTACGACTGCCCTCGCCCGGTGCCATCAGTGGGCCCTGAAAACGCCTCCTCCCTGTCCCTCCGTGTCCCTCTCCGGCTATCATCCCGTCCTGGCCCTGCCGGCCGGTCAGCGGACAGCAGCGATCGCCGCGATACCTCCCCGGACCGGCGCAGTCAAACAGGTTTCGGCGCCTGCCTCTGGCAAAAACATCCCGACAGAGGAGCGGTCAGACATGACCGCCGGTCAGACACGCCTCCGTGTCGACCAATCAGAGCCGCCGGTCCTCCCAGGCACCCAATCAGAGCTGGCGACTGTTGCCGAGCCCCCGGCTCGCCTACTGCGCACCACTCCGCGAAAGGCGCCACATTTCTTTGCAGCCGCTGATTAGTGATTATAATGGGCCTCGTGTTTGGCCGAGTGCTGATAACAGGGAGTGAATTTCATGATTCAGCCGAGTGAAGAAGTGAATAGCATAAAGTACATCCCGCATTCATATTTCATCAGCTGTTGGTTGTTTGGCGTCTGCATGGTGTTTTACCATTTGGTGTTTGGTACGCGATAGCCCGTCTCCACATAGACAATTTTATGTCACTCGGTGACTGCATCCGTCACATTCGCGACCAGCGACTTGCTTAAAATCCGTCTCATAATGAGCGGCATAGGTATTGGCCATAGCGGCATAGGAGCGGCATATGTATTGGGCATAGGTATTGGCCTTATGGTCATTATTAAGGTCATCGGTGGAACCAGAGGACACGTAAGATCTATTAGCCCCATGGGCGTTGCATGGAAAGAATGGGACCAAAAGTCGGCAGTGCCCCCCCCCCCTTAATTGAAGGTGTTCCGCCGCTACTGATCTGTGCCAACTGCCAATAATCTGTTTTACTTTCAGTCTCACGGCGGAGCAAGACAGAATGATTATTTTTACAGCTACCGTATCCCTATACACGAGAACGGCACCGTTAACCGTGTTAGCGTGCGTGTAGATGACGGGCTAGCAATCAAGCTGAATGTTCATGAACCCACCTTGAAGATGTCGAGCGCCTCGGCCAGCGAGCCGCTCTCGTGGCTCATCGAGAACGTGATGGTGACGAGCTTATCCGAGTCGAGGCCCTCGATGATGTAGTTGCCACCCTCCTTCAGAATCGGCTGCAACCAGAGTCACACAGTCATCGTCAGGTTATAAATAAAGTAGAGCTCCCACTGAACTTGGCAGGGAAGCAGTAAAGGTCTGTGTGGGTGTGGTTTGGTGTCAGTCAATGATCAATAATCAATTTTATGTTAGTGTTAGAACCTTTGGTCACTTCTCAGAGTATCGGTGTCATCCGATTGTCAGTTTAAATGCAAGTGCCGCAGTCGGTCAGAGGCGGATCCAGCTCAGAGTTTTTTTTTTGGGGGGGGGGGGGGGGGCAAACCATAACAATTTATCGATTCTTTCCATGCATCGTCCATAGGCGTAATGTTAAGATTATGCCGTTTGGGGGGGGGGGGCAAATGCCCATTTTGCCCCCCCCCCTGGATCCGCCACTGCAGTCGGTAATAGTGTTAATGCCAGCGTCGCTGTCGTCATTCAGTGTCATTCCTGGTTCCTGTACAACAGACAGCGGTGTCGACCTCGTCCCGGTGTCAGTCAGTGCTCGTAGTCGTGTCACTACGGAGTGCCCGTGTCATTACGGCTAGGGCTGTCGTCTGCGTTATTACGTGGTCAGGCAGCCTATTCCATTTACGGGCCGGCCCCGGCCCTGAGGAGAACTAATATGGAGCGCATATGAGTGCGCCGGCATCCATAGGAATTAGGACTGGGCTGGGATGTTGGTCTCAGGTCAATAGGAGGCGACAAATAGGCGGATCCAAGGCCGCAAATAGGCGGATCCAAGGTGCAGGATGAGGACGAGAGTCTCTACTACCCAGCAGGCTCAGAAAACGGTGACTTCGCCTGAGTTGGTACAGTTGACCCAAATTGACAAATTTGTGTGGGATAATCTATCTCTATCCCGCGGTCATCAAAAACAAGAGTTTAAACTTTGAAGTGGAATGCCATTTCATTAGCACTCAATGCCTTACATCCATTTTGTGAAAAAATTACCATCGACATGTTTCTGGCCGAAAAACTCCGTGTTTTTGTTAGAAAACCCCAAACAGTTTTTGGATAGATCTCGTCAAGGTCGTTTTGTCGCGGATTCCTGACGTGTTTTTACCACCACCACCTCTTTTAGCGTCAGAAGAGATGGATTTTATCTCGCCCAAACGAGAGAGGTAGCCATTCGTCCCAATGCCAAGCAGGCCAGGGTTGATTGGCCTGAGCACCTGATGCGGCGCTCCATGTCCAGCCCCCGTGAACCCGTGTTCACGGTGTGAGTTATCTCCTTCGGGCGGCCCTGGCCCGGGTCAGTCCGTGTTCGATGACCGAATCTCTCTGTCAGCGATGACCTGAAGGTGAGCTGTGGCGACAAGCCCGACCGGACCCCCCAGCGATGACTGCCGAGGTGTTGTGACGAGCCAGCCGAGGCTTTGGTTGTGGCATGAGTCGTCCGATCGTGTTCAGTCCAGGATGCCAGCACCGACAGGACCTTGCGTCATGCCAGATGCTGGCACTGTCATGCAGGGTGTCCATTGAAATGTATAATCCGAACCACTGCATAAACCGGCGATAAATCGCAAGGCGAAGTAGTTTGGCTGTTTTAAATGCGCATGTTGGGGATTGTGTCTGTCCGCTTCACAAGCGGACCCATTTACGATGTTTCATTTTTCTACTTGCTATGCCTATAGTTCGTTCAGTGTTGCTTTGTCGCAACGTAAAATATGTTCGAGCAGTTTTGGTCTTTGAAAGGCATAATTTCAGTACACCGGAATGCATAGGTTGCGTTAATTTCGTATCTGTTTTATCCATAAAGCTCAAGGCTCTGGTGTGACTTTGCTGTTCAATTTATCTCGATTATTTTCTCGGTCCGTGAGCCTACTTTCACCGAAATCTGTCGCTTATCTGAGCCGCTCTTCCTAGCCTGCCAAGCTCAAATACGGCAGCTGACCTGCTGGTTCCGAGTTTGGCCATGGCGCGCTTCTGGCCTGGAATTAGCTCCACCTGTATGCTGTTGGGCTGTCATGCTCGGAGGTAGATTGGCGGCCGGAGGCGGTGAAGGGATTCAATTAGACGGTTAATCACTTATCACGCTATTCGTTCATTTGGTTACCACACGCTGGATGCTCGCGAATGTTTTGGCGGCCACCTTTTAAATAGTATCTTATATATCAACATAGCCTCCCAGCGATCTAAAGTTATTATGGATCCATGACGTCTGACGAACAAAATCCGCTAAAAATGGTAGAAATATTGCCTGCATGTATAGCTATTCTGTACCAGAAGGGGACGACAAGAAAAGAAAACATGAAACGTTAATCGCCTTACGAACTAACAAAATTTTATTTGAATGCAATGAAATGGTACGAACTTTGACGGAAAGACTGATGAAAAACTAATTTTGTTTCAATTGTCTAAAAATATGAGATTAAATGCCCATTCGCAGATAAGATGGGTCTCAGTCTGTCGTAATGAGGTGTTTCTTGGCTTAGAAATTGATAGCGGCAGCAACAAAACTTGAGCTGCAGCCAAAAAATGTATCTCTAGAGTCTAGGTATATGCTCTTAAAAATGATGTGCTTAACGTTTTTGGTAATTTGTTAAGATATCTGTCGCAAAAAAGATAAAAGAGACTAATGAGCTCCGCCTAAATATATATGATGTTTAAACTACTTCATTTAGTGACTGCTGGCTGCAAAAAAAGACGTGAGTGTTCGTTTTCATGCCACCGACACCATCGTTGAACGAATTCGGCCGGCCGCCGATGAATTGCATCCTATCCTCAAGACCTCGAATGCGACTGTTTCGCTACAGGTAAGAGCGAAGAACATACTGGACTACAAGGAAGGGTTACGTAAGTACCCACATTGCACAATGCCCGTTATCTGCCTGTCTCCCAACACCAGACCTTAGTCAGACTTCGTGCGTTGAGCCCACCTCTTTCTCGTGCGCGTAAGTGGTCGCCCTGCGCGGCTTCTTCGCCGGTGACTCCATCTTGGGCGCCGCCGTCTTGGTGCCTCCGTTCATATCTGCGACTGATGATCTGAGCCTGTGACTCCCTCCTGCTGAGCTGCCTCCCGAGCTGCCGCCCGCCCCGGCTCGCCACCAATACTGACACCGCGCCGTGTGCGTATCCGCGGCCGACCCTCCTCCGGCCAGTGACGTCAGAGCTGCCCCGCCGAGCGCCGCGGGCACGCCGACACCTCTCTCCGGCTCGCTCCGTGTGGAAAGGCTGAACGATAGATGGTATCGGCGACCGACTTTAAAGGCTCGCCGCGGCCCGGGACATGTCTGATGCAATGCGACTGCCGCAGGGGACGGCCCATGCGCTGTTGTTTGGGTGGCGGGGTGCGTGTTTGGTCGGCGTTTCGGTTTGGCCCCGGACCGTCAGTCGCGTGCTGGAGTTAAATGAAGGAGAGACAGTGCTGACTGCCTTATGCCAGCTGCATGCTGATTGCTGATTGTGTTCGAGCCTGCTAGGTGCTTGCTCAATCACGTGCAAATAGAAATGATTGGAAAATAACCCTCGTGAATGTTTTCACTGTAAGAAAGCTACCGCTCTTACGCAGAGTTGCTGAGATTATATTCCCTGTGGTTACTTACTGAGTGCGTTGCAGTCGGTCAGAATCTGTTGTAAAGTTGTGTTTGACCTCGTCATGTAATTAGCGTGTGGCACTTGGCAGGCCCCGCCCCAGTGTACCGTTCGTCGAAGGTAATGGATCCTGTGTGATGTAAGGTCGGCGTAACTTGGCTCACACAGCTGAACGCACGGGCTTCCCGGCCCGCCCCCGGCGAGAGTCGAAACACCCGGTCCCGACGAGGCAGGCCTGTTTCGGAGACGGGAAGGTGGTATTACGTGAGGAATCGTGTTAATGATGCCGTAATACTAAAAGGAGTTCGTTGGCCGGAGACTGTACGAACAGGATATCGTAAAACGATATGGCCTTGAAGAAGGCCGCTTAGAAACAGCTAAAAAGTATAATGAGGAAGTTATTGGCAATAAAAGCTACCTAGATATAGGACTTACAGGTTTTTAGCCGTTTATTTTAGTATTATCTTACGAAACGCCGACCCGTCATGTCAATGGGAAATAATTGTTCTGCTTGCAAATTAGGTATATGTCGCAAGAAATCGTGCAAAAGTTTAACGAATAAAGAAAGTACCTAATGCACATGAAGTCACATCTCAAGAACGAAAAAAGAAGAATTAACAAGCAAATAACTCGGCAATATAGTGCTGTTCTACGTGCCACAGTCTCACCTGATTCGGGTGGCTGCGCTTCATCTCGTCCAGCTCCTTGTCCGTCATCTTGGTCTTCTTGATGAGCATGTCCTGCTCTTCGGACGCTCCTCCAGCTCGCTTCTTGGACCCGCTGCTCTCCATAGCTGATAACCTCTGTGAACCTGCGGTCACGGTCTGTAGTGTGCGGCGGGATCGTCTCCGAGCCTGACGGCGCCTGCAGCCGATGGGGCTCTGGCGAGTGCGCAACGAACGCGCTGCCGGCCGGTCGCCGCCCGCCGCGGGGCCAGTCGGCCGGACGGCCGGTCCTGCTGATCGTATGCGGCCGTCCTGCGGCGCGGAGCGGCGGAGGCGTCATATCTCAGAGCCGAGGCCGCCCTATCGCGGGACGATCACAGCCGCCCTCCAGAGGGCCCGCCCGAGCCTCCCGTGATGGATCCGATGGCACTCAGAGGACAGAGGTCGGGCCAGGGATGGGACTCGACTTGTGTTTGTCAGGGAGAATGACACGCATTTGGCCGAAACCCTCTTCGAAAATGCTATTGAAATGAGCGTTTGGTAACCGATGGACGTAAAACAGGCGTAGTTTCTCAGTGTTTGTGGACGTAACTGGGGATGCCTGAAAATGCCCATGAGGTTTGACACAGTGCAGGACTGAGCTACGCATTATATGCTGTTAGCAATTGTACGTTTTGCTGCGTACATTTCCTTTGACTACATTCCTGCGTACATTTCCTTCCTGCGTATTTTCCTTTCGCAACAATCACATGCAACTTTGTATTAGTCGCGAACAAGCTTCATACGCTCTGAAGTTACGCAGATAGCACCCCATTGTATTTGGTTTCGTTGGGTCATTTAGTCGCTTAGTTGAGAAAGAACCACGGGGCCCGATGGGCCCCACGGACCTTGAATCGGTCTGTCTATTTTTAGATATGTGGTGTCAGGAACCTGACGTTCGAGCGAGAGAGAGAGAGAGAGAGAGAGAGAGAGAGAGAGAGAGAGAGAGAGAGAGAGAGAGAGAGAGAGAGAGAGAGAGAGAGGCAGGAGGGAGGGAGAGAGGGTGGGAGAAAAAGGAAAAGAGAATGAAGAAGAGGTGACAAAAAACAAATAGGGATCAATTATAAGGCTAAACGAGAGACTATGAATGATTGAACTCCTCTCACAATTTCACGACCTTCAGTCCTTTTCCTCTTCCGGGAGCATCGCACCAGGAGGACGTTTTTTTTTATTATTCTCATAGCTCAGCCTCTCCCGCGAATACATCTTAGACGGAGTTATTGGATATGCTAGGTGATGTATTTAATTTATTAATTGCAAGAAACTAGAAAGGTTATAATTTGATAACAAGTAGGAAACTAATATTATTTTGCTTGGTATGTCGAACGGTCTTGCGAGGTTGGGATATTCTAGATAGGCATAGGTACAACCAAGGCCATCTAATAGAAGGTACAGTCACTCCCCCGCCGACCAATCAGAGACAGATCCTGAGTGACGTCATCCCTGATGCTCGCAAGGGGTACTCCATTCCTTTGCAACGTAAAAATGACTAACTTCATTTGAAGATTATTGATGGCACTCTACACATATCGCTCAGCCGTTGATGTCAATGGAAAGCTCAACTAATTTTCCAGCGACAAAAAAGGGCAGCAATATGCTAAGAAATGGCCAGTTTTGAAGATATAGACGATTTAAAAACCCTCTGCAGCAGCAGAAAAGCAACGTAAAAACGCATCAAGCTTATATTTTTACTATGGATAAATCATTTTTCAGTAAGTTTTTAGATATGGTATAGATTTAAGTTACAACTTCATTACAATATTTTCATAACTTGAAACTTTATTTCAAAATAATATTTTTAAAAATGGCAGCTGTTGGCCAGTAGCTTGGGAGCGATTGTGGCGCACCGCGCCATTAATTGTCCTGAGGCCCCCTTATGATGTCATCAAAAGTGGAGTGACATGGGCCTGGGTACAACTAACAAGTTTATTTTAACTCAGGATATTAACAATGAACAGACTAATTTTTGTGGATAATAGGTACTTCTAAATTGCAAACTCTTTATTACCCAAGGGACTTGGTCCACTTACTAAGTGAGGCATTGCGTCACCTTCTTACATATACGTAAACTACGTAGTGCATTTCGCAGCGAATCCGGATGTCCAAACATGCATCTCCTTTCGATATAACGCTGAGTCATGTACCGTTTTACATTAGCGCATTCCGACCTCGAGATGGCTAGTAGCGAGCCATGCACGCCGCCGGCGGCGACGAATGGCGTATGTGCTCAGCTGTGGCGCATTTGTGGCCATTGCGCCGCACTGTGGCGTAGTTGGTCCTGTCTATACCACGTCGTTCAGGTGGTAATGAGGGGCAGCTAGACAGCTCTCGAACGGCGCCCGTGTCCGCGGGGCCTGGTGAACGGCGAGCACACGGCATCCAGAGTGCTGAGTGACCGGGTTTTGCAACGAGACTCATGGTTAATTACAATGAATAATTAACCTACCGATAGCTGTTTCATGAACATTGAATTAAAATGATAACCGAAAGAGTAACAGGTGCAGATGAAGAGGTTTCAGCAACTGTTTCAAAAGCTTCCGTGGCACGTCTGTCAATACATAAGCCTTATGATGCCTTTACTGATCTGACCGTCACCGAGTTTAGAAACCAGCTGAAACGTCGACTGACGTCTGGTGCGGACGAAGTGTGATATGTATGTATAATATGTATGTGCATTGTGTTGTGTGCTTTTGTCGTGATTTTTAAGCATTTTTTTATGTCATAGCATGATGTTCTTTTACCCACTTCATCACCATCTTTTATTGACTCAGTGCCAAGAATAGCCTCTTTGACTTCGGTCATATATAGGGGACGGCCACTACGAAGTAAATAACTAAATAAATAAATAAATAAATAGATACAGTCAAATTTAACACTATCGGGTGGTTTGGAGTGGACATTTATGAAGAAGCTCAACACTACACGGGCACTTTTATCACCTCCGGGCCCCTTCTTTGATGAACTGTGATATCTGCCAGTTGATGTTCTCTGAGTTCTCGTTCCAGTTTTATGGCTGGTGCTACTGTCGTATACTTTGTTGCAGTCCCTCACTGAAGTGCTATTGTGGGGTAAGGTATTGCAGTCTCCAAGCTCATCTGACACTGTGTCTGGCTGGCGGGCGATTAGGCATAAATTTCGGGTTGAAATGGTGATGTGAGTGAGTAAACTTGATGCCTATATGCTTTCCGATCTGTAGGTAGACTTCATTGCCATATCAGCGTCTTACACACGCACAAAAAACTACCGACTTGGAACTGCTCACTGCTTAGTGCTCAGGTTTTCCCGAGCCCAACGTTCAAGTTGTTCGATAGATGATTCCATATTACGCAGTGGTGTTGCCTCGTAAAATATTGCATGCACCATTCCGATTATCTCACGACCCAACAACACCTCGAGAGCTGTCGATGCTGTCCGATCGCCCGAGGCGGCATCGTGACACCGGAGAGAGCTGATTGGATGGCAGCTGGTCGGACCACCCCACGTGACCTCACAGTGTTCTGCGGACCACCCCACGTGACCTCACAGCCTTCTACTCTGCCAGTCGGCCGCTTCGCCGCCTATGCCTGCGCCGGGCGACGATCCGCCTAGCCTGAACGGTGGGTTAGAGAGTCGCCGGTGGAAAACTACCCACCGGCCGGGCCATACGTGACGAGCGTCTGAGCGAACGGGTGGCTCTGTCATCCGTTACATTACCATAAGGTTTATGGGATATGACCAATGATCATTTCCATCGTCCCTTTGGGTCTGATGCTTCGCAACGATGATACCAATACTGCAAGCAGCTTCACGATTAGTCAGAAATTGGTTATTAACTATGATAGTTTTTTGTATTAAAGAGGTTGGCCTAAGGTTGACCTAAAAAGGTTTACCTGAGGCTGACTATATGACTTGACTGGAAATAAAACCAGGATATACGAAATGCTTTCATTAGTACCC